ATTCCCCTTCTCGAAACAACTCAATCTGTAACCCACTATAATCCTCCCTTGGAAGTTCCTTAGGACTTTCCACAATTGCATCCCTACACTAGGGCTATTCTTAATGTCTGCCCGCTGATATTCTCATATTGGTTACTGCCTCTGACTCTTTAAATGTCCAAACCTTGCCCGGCCCTGAGGTACAAAATGACGTTCTTCCTCCACTGTCATGTGTATTTCTCTCAACTCGGTCCGTTGCATTAACTTAGTTGATTGGATTTTTACTGCCCACAGAGCAAAGAGTAGGTGACTTTGTTAATGTCACCACCTCTCATGGATAAACCAAGAAATGTGTTTTATTTTAGTGGAAGGAGAGTCATGAGGTTTAGACTGTTCAGCAACAGAAGTCACCTGTGAATTAGTTCTAAGCAGTGATGCTACCTGCTCATGTGTGTGTTATAACGCCTCACATACCTCTCATGACATGAATTCCATTTTATTTGAGTTGTGCAGTTTCCTCTTTATCGCAGCCTCTTTCTGATATCACCCATATCGTATCATAGGTAGTTCACATCTTAATACCATTTACCATTCTTCAGTTATGGGAATTGTTTTCAGTAGAGCCTAACAAGCTGGCAAACTAGCTCTCTAGCACCATAGGGAACTTTTTGAGTTAAAAATCCCAGTGGTCGCCACAAGGTGGTAGTATTATGTTTCATTCAAAGCCTGTAATTTGCATGTATTGTGATGTCAGAAAATTCTAAAATTATGTGTGAATGTGTTGGAATGGTAGGGTTTCAGCAGCATATGTGGGCCACTGCCCATTTTTATAGCTTGCCAAACAGTCTTTCAAAATGTCGTGCCTCCTTTTTATTGGCAGGGTCCTGGGGGAGAGTAATTTATTATTTACTGTTTACCGAATACCTCTAGTGACCCAAAGTTATTTTAGAAATTTCACTGATTGTGCTAAGTTCTGAATCCTTCCTGGATTAACTAACCATTCAACTAGTCACATATACAACTACAGCTCTCACATCTTCTGAGTTTCTCCCCCCAAGGGGGCAAGGATCAAAATGTCATCAATACAATGAATTAACTTAATTTTGATGGCGATCATGTCTAAATCCAGTGTCATCAAATTGTGCAAGTGAGTTGGAAGGGTCCAAGACATCCTTGTGGAGGGAACATAAACATACAGTACACTCCTCATGTACAAGCAAACTGTGCTTCTCTCCGAGAATGAGATCAAGAAGATAGCATTTGCCAAATAGGTCACAACAAACTCTCACTAGTTTGTGCAACTTCTTACAATGCCTGGAACAACAGACACTTGTTTAATTCATGGCAACTACCACCCAGCCGATGTGGCTCAGTGGACTGAGCATCATCCCATAGACTGAGAGGTCCCAGTTTGATTCCTGGTCAGGGCACATGCCTGGGTTGCGGGCTCAATCCCCAATAAGGGGTGTGCAGGAGGCAGCCAATTGATGTTTCTCACATTGATGTTTCTCTCTCTCTCTCCCCCTAAAAAATCAATAAAATATATTAAAAGAATAAATAAATGATGGCAACTACCTTGTTAATGCATGATGGTCAACAGCTCCTTCTAAGAGCCTCCTCTTTTTCTCCTGGACCACAGAGGATTGATAGACAGAGATTGCACTTTTGCTCCCATTGTTTCCTAGTGAACAATGAGATTTCCTGTGTCCTTCCAGAGTCTGACACTGTCTGGCAGTTACTGCAAAGGAAGGTGTGAACAATTCTCAGGGCCTCCATTTTGCATGTCCAATTAAAACTACATGAAGGGCAGACTTCTCTGTCTCTTAACGACATTTTGCTTCAAACTGGTAATGACAAGGACCTTCATCACATCCATTTAAATTACATATTCAGGTAAAAGCAAAAACTAGATCTTTCTTGTTTTTCCAGCTTTAGCTTCATAGTGACTCTGGTGCAACCTACTATAACATTTTCATATGCCCCAAATTTCAATTTTCCTACCTTAATATTGCCTTTCCATTACCCTGCTGGTATTATGGTACATTTCACATCATCATTCAATAATCCCAAAGGTGTTTTCCAGTATCCTCTGCCACTCAACATAGACTATCTCATATAGTCTTAGATTTCTTACCTTGGGTCAAATGAAGATTTCCTGATCCTCAAGCTGACTGTCCTTTTCTCCCACAACATTAATAGATGATTTAAAATCACTGCCCTGTGCTAAACACATCTTGTTTCTCTTCAGCATTACTGGCATTAAACTCATCCAGGCTGGGATAACTGGAACCAGATCTGATAGATTAACTTAGGTGAGGTGCATGCAGGAGCTAGAGTGGGTTTCCCTCATCTCCACTATAGTTGATGTGCGACCAAACCCTTTGTAGGGGTTCTGTCATTTTCCTGCCTCTCTTTCCCCCTTCATCCCCTACCTTTAAAAAAGGACTGATCATATAAATTGTTCTACCCAATTCAATGTTTATTTTCCTTGTTCTGGTTACCACCTCCACCCCAGCCCATAACTTTATTCTGAATAGCTTAAACTTTCTTTTCATTGGTAAAACCCATTGCTGTGGGAACAAATCTGCCTTGGCATTCTGTCTATTTCCTTGTTCTCCCATTAAAATAATTACACCTAAACATGAGGAGTTTCCCCAAATGAGTGTCTAACACAGTTTCAGGGAAGTGCTACACAGATCAGCATAAACTAGTGAGAGTTGCCACTGTCCTTAATATTTTTAATGCTGCCACAGAGGTAGCCCATTTCACTCTTAGTAAAAGGACTATACAATTTTCCTTCTCAGTATAAATTTGCTGCATTTCAGACTTTACACATGCCAAAAGGTGGAGATAATATTTAACTTTGGTTCTCTATGGATCAGATGCTGAACACTGCAACAAGTTCTTGATTAACAGTCATACTAATTAACTCTTCCATTAAGCAGTTTCTAAAATCAAGTGTCTTAGTTGTTTAGCCTGAGAATCCAAGAAAGCTAGAGACTGCTGAGTACTACTCAAAAATATAACCAAACTCTATTATACTACAGCCTTCGTTTTTCATAAGGCCAGGTAAAAGCATACAGCTTAGTTCAGAGACTTCAGCAGGTCCTGCCTTTGTCTTAAAGCCAGAATTTTAATCTTAGGACTTAGCCACCTTTAAGCCAGCCACTTGAAAGAAGGAAATCAGAGGATAAGAAAGAGAGAGCGTCAATCTTCCCTGAGGGACAGATCTGGTTTAATGAATTGATGGACAAGAAAAGAGGCAGCCACGTGCACATAACATTTTAATGTACAGGGACCCTGCTTCAAATAAGTGCACTTCAATTCACTTCTCAGGTTCTGACCAAACAGGCTAACATTCTCTTCTCTTGGAGAAAAACGTGATTGAAGTGACCAACAGGCAGCATGGAGACCAGGAGAAGAGCTCTCTGCACTCCCTACTGTCAGTACAGCACACTGAAAGGGTAAAGGATTCTATCATTGTACTACAGGATTATCGCACTTTCTAGTTTACAAAGGTCTTGTGATCTAATGGAGAGACCCCTGGAATAGAAGTTAGTTTCTACTTAATTCGCCAAAATTGACTTTGTACTTTGCCTTCCTGAATCTTCTTATGTACAATAAAAATATTCAATGAGGTGATCTTTAAGTTCCCTTCAAGATCTAAGATTCTATGATTTTATTATTTTATGTCCAGATTTCATTACCAAGTTGACCATCGTTTGGTTGCTTCAGTGGGGCAGGGATTATGGCTTATGCACCCTTAACATGTCTAGTGTTTTACAATCAGTACCTTAAAAAATTGTTGGTTGAAGTGTGGAAAAGTGTGTTTTGCTGCTTCAATTTGTGTTAACAAGGGGACGGAGGGAATAAACATACATACATTTACATAGAATATTCCTGGAGGTATAAGCCAGAAATGAATATTTCCAGCATGGGGGCTGAGCGACCAGGAGTCTTGAATGGGTGGAAGTGATTTTTCAACGCACCTTGTCCTTTGTACTTACATTCTACTTTTCCCTTGCTCTTTCTCCTCCAGTCACTCTGGCCTTTTCTTGCTATCCCTCCAATTTTTGAAGTATGCTCCTGATTCAAGGCGCTTGCACTTGCTGTTCTAGTGCTTGGAAATACTCTTCCTCCACACACTCGTTAAGGTTCACTGCCTTACTTCACCTGGACACTGCTCAAATGTCACCTTAACACAGACTCCCCGGCTTCCTGTATGTAAAACTTCCCCTCCCCCTACGCCTTACTTTGGCACCAGATGGCCTACTAAATATTGGCAATTATTTACTGTATGACTCCTTTTTGGAACCCTGACTTGTACATAGGGGGCAAACAACAGATATTTGAATTAATGAATGTACTATTGAGTTGAGACGTTTTAAAAATCAACATGTAAGTTTTTCTTTCAAAACAATCAGTTAAGGAATACATGTTTGACGAATTAACTGTTAGATGTTTATTATTCTAGAACAAAGTCCAAACTTCTTTCCTCAACATATAGGGCTCTCCTTATCTGTCATTGACTAGCCACGAGCAAGTTATTAAACGTTCTGTTTCCTCATCCATAAAGTGAGACCATGAATAATTAACAGCTGACCTTTGAACAACGTGAAGTTGGGGTCCTACATAGTCGGCCTTCTGTCTATGTGAATGATCAACGGCGAATATGAAAATACATGGAATTAAAATTAAATGTAGGCGAAAGCGCTACGATAGTTACCACAAGCGCACTGCTTCTTCGGTGCTTGGAGTGTAGAAGCAGCACACGGAGCCAACTTGCGCGAAAGGCCAGAGCAATGAGACTGAGAGCAGTCTTAGGCGCTGGGCACGCCTCTAGGTAGCCGTTGCTAGGGAAACCGGCTAGCGTCCCTAGAATCGGAGCACGCGCACCAAAGCAACTCTGCTCGACCTTCTTGCTGCGTTATCAATTGGTGGAGCGCGGACCAATTGGAGGAAGCCGGAGGGGCGGGGCGGGGCAGGCGCTGTCTCCAGAAAGGCGTTCCTGTGGACTCGCTCCCTGACTTCCGGGTCACGGTGCTTGCGAGGAACACAGCGCGAATAGCGTCGTTTCCGTTGCCGGCTGTTTGCAGTTGGGGAAACCGAGGCAGACTTCAGCTCCCTCTAGTTCTTCCGCTCCTGTGAGGTGGCTGCTGTTTCTTTTTCTCTCGCCCCGCGCTGCTTCCGCGCGGGTGCGCGAGCCCGGCGGTGTCCCCCGTCCCACGGCAGATCCGCGGGGCGCCGGGGACGGCGGGGCTTTGTGCGAGCCGTTTCCGTCCACTCGCGGCCAGCGCGCGAGCTGGGCTCCGCCGGGCGCCGACACGGGGACTCGCGCGCAGCGACTCCCCGAGGTCTGGGGAGCTCGGGCACGGCGAGGCTTGCTCTGCCTCCGCTTGGCAGTGCTTTCGTCACGATGAGCGCGGGCTAGACGGGTTCATTTTCACGGCACAGTTCAGCCCATCTCGATGTGCACCGTTTCTGCACCCACCTGCGGGAATTTCAAAACTGACAGTTTTCTCAGGCCCTAGTGTAGAGATGGTGGATAGGTGGGAGTGTTTAAGGCAGGAAGGAGACCAGCGTTTTTGTTTGTTTTTAAGTAATTACTTACTTGCATTGCTCCCATCACGCTTCATTTAGGAGCTGAAGGTTTTTCTTACGACATAAAGATTCAGTTTTGTTCAGGGTATAAGTCATTGCCCTTAGTATTTCAGTCCTTCCCCTGTGGGACGGAAAATGAAGATTTAGGATGTGATCTACTACTCGGTGTTCAACTTGTATACTTCCATTTGTGAGCCATATGTTGTGTTTTTGTTTGTTGGCGTCACCCGACTGTGGGATAGATGTAACTGGAATCAACCATAAGGGAGTAAGAAGAGCTTATTATAATAACAATCGTGATACATGGTATATTTGATTTAATTGTTGCTTAGTTGGGTTCCTTTTGTTCCTGAACTGTTGAGCCCCAATTTTCAGAGTGAAAAATTAAAATAGGGAACTGAGAGCTTGAATCTAAGTAAGTAGTTTTGATTTTTACAGTTAATTTTTAAAAAGTGATAAATGGGCCATTTGACTACCATCATTTAATCCAAACAGTATATATTACATCTGTCATTGTTTTCTTATATTCCTTAAACACTGCTACAAAATAGACACAGTGGAATAGCATAATAGATATTAATATCATTTGAGATTTGATGAGTTGGATAAACTAATTTTTGTCCATTTTAAAATCTAATATAAGGTCATTAAACCTGTCATATATTTCTTTCTCCAGGAAAAAAAATGTTTATTTCTTTGTGGGACTTCTTCTATGGGCACTTTTTCCGATTTTGGATGAAATGGCTCTTACGACAGATGACTGGAAAGTGTGAATTGCAGCGAATTTTTGATACCTATGTAGGTGCACAAAGGACACACAGGATAGGTAATGTTATTTGAAAAAGGATAATAAAAAACAAATGAAATTTTAACTCTGAATATTTTTTTCTCAGTATTCACAGTGACAGAGGCACTCCTTGTATATCCTGATCAAGTCACTTAAACTCAATTTCATAATTTTTGGAATCTAGCATTGACTCCTTCCAGCTCTAAAACTGTATGATCTTACAGAAAAAGAAAAGGATTATTGTTTAATTCCCCATCTGTGCCAACAATTACTTACTCTGGCTCCTGAAATTCATCAGTTGTTCCTAGATTATAGTTATAAACTATTCTAGAGAAAAATCTCTATACTTTTATAAGCCCTTTGAAATTTTCACCCAAGTGCTGGGAAAGAGTGAGTGTCTGGGTCTGGATCCAATTTTATACCCAGCATCCTTCATCAATCTTTTAGTCTTTTATGTAATTCATGAAAGGACAGTACTAGGTATACAGTGATCCTTAAGAAACATTGTTAGACTCAAAATATGCACTGTCCCCTACTCTAGCCAGTAGCCACCTGTGGCTGTTGAGCACTTGGAATGTGATTAGTATGAATCGAATGTGTGGAAGTATAAAATATGCACTGGGTTTTAAAGACTTCTTGTAAACAAAGGATGTAAAAATATCTCAGTTATTGTTCATATTCATTATATGTTGAACTATTTTGGACATATTGGTTTAATATATTTTAGATATGTTGGTTTAAAATAGTGAAATTAATTTTATGTTTCTTTTACTCCAATGTGGCTACTCTAAAGTATACACATGGCTCACATTTTGGCCTGCATTATATTTCTTTTGAACAATACTGCTCTATTATCTTTTGAAATTCATCAGCTTTCAATGCATAATTGAAAATATTGCTTTAAATTAGAATAAATATGGTGGAGGTCATTTCTTTCTAGCCAGGATGAAGACAGGGATCAGCTGCAGTTCATGCTCACTGTATTCCTGGAAAACCGTGACTCAACCAGGCCTTCTTTTGTATTAAACAAGTGTGCTACAACTAAAAAATCCACCCCTGTGAGATTGGGGAGGGGGTGTTGGTATCCAAGGCAACATGAAAGGATGACAGACTCAAGGAGAGAGTAAGCCCCAGGGCAGCTGGATGATTGAAGTTTATTACTTCCCTACTTTCCTCACAACTTTGTGGCTGACTTAAATCATTGCCTGCTCTTTGGATTTGCCCTTTTAACTGTTCTGAGAAGAACAAAGTACCTCTTGATAAGAAATCTTGGCATTGTTGGTGTTTTCTAGTGTGGGAGGAAAATCATACTTTGTGGCAAAAACATTTTTCTCGAATTTTTCAAATTGTTGAGAAAAAGACTTTAAGCACGTGTACCAGAAAAAAATTTTAAATAAACCAATAAAAATGTTCTAGTCATTCTTGAAACAGAAGACAAGAATGGAGTAGCTGTTTTGCTGTTTGTCTGGTTCGAGGATGGTTAGGCAAATAATGTAAAGTCTTTTTATTTTCACCCCTGTGGTGGTGTATGATTCAGTTGCCATCTCCCGAAATTGAAATGCTTTCTCCTTAAGGCCAACAGATGAAGAAAATGTAGTAGAGAACCCTCTCGCTGAAGTCTTAGGCTGAGTTTCTAGGACTCAAGCTATTCTGAGGCCGCCACACGTCAATTGCAGTTCTTAGTAGACACGTGGGTCTGCACAGAAACAGATGACTCTAGGGAACGTAGGTTGACTTCACCTCTTTGGCTGTGGTATGTTGTGTTGGGTTGAGGATTTTGGAATCATATTTAGTTCTTTGTACTGTAAGGATGAAATTTTAAAACATCTGTTGTTCAAGTAAAAATGAGCTCTTATAGAACTATGAAAATAATTTATTATTGGCTTGATATTTATATTCTTTGATTACAGAGTAATTCACAAACAGCATTTAAGTGATAACTTTTTTTTTTTTTTTTTTTTGGTCTTTTTTCATTTCAGAAAATTCCTTGGTGTACTCCAAGAATAAGGTAGGGTCATATCAAGGTGATAATTCCAGAAAACTTTACTGGGAGATAACTTCCTCTTTAAAAGGATGCTTCAGTTTTAGAGTTAATAATATCAGTGTCCTATCAGAAGAGTCTTTGCTGTAAAAGTATTGAGTGAAATTTTCCCACTTTAGAAGTAATACTGTATTTTAAAAATATTTTCTCTGCATGTATGTGCTTTTCATGCACAAAGAAGGTATTTGAATAACTTATCCCGTTCTGAGGTTTTGCTTGTTTATTTTGCCTCAAGACTCGATAGTTTTAGGGTAAGCAGGATCTTGGGGGAAAACCTTCTTTTAGACTGTGTCCTTAGCATAGGTTCTTATATGTGAGAAAAAAATTAAACAATTTTGGGTAGTTATATAACACGCTGGTCATGTACCTTTTGATCCAAAATATGTCATACATCATGTTATTAGTCCGCTTCTACTGTGTAACAAACTCATGAAATCTCAGGGGCATATAACAATATGTTATTTCTTGCTCAGTGACTGTTGGCCAGCTGGAGAAACTCTTCTTCATGCTGGTGCCAAGTTCAGGTCTGTTACAATTGTCTCATTCTGGGACTCAGGCTGCAAAGGTAGTGAGTACCTGGGGAATGTTCTTTGCACAGTGGATAGTTGAAGCCCTAGCCACAGAGACATGTTTTAAATTTCCTGGTGTCATATCCATTACCATTCCATTGGCTAAAGTAAGTTATATGGCCACACCCAAGTCAAAATAGAGAAATACACTTTGTCTACCATTGACCATTACAGGGGAGTGAAAAATTGGTACCAATAATTCAGTCTACTACATGCTACATGTCCCTAATAGTAGGTTACATTTTCTTCTGTGAATACATGTATATGGCAGAGGTAGAGCATGGGTCACCTACACCACTGTTTGAGATCCCATCATAAATCACAGCCAGCATTGAACAACAACCACTAATAAAGGAATAGAATAGAAAATAATTAGAAAACATTGGTCATGATAAGGTTAAATATTTCATGAAATTTTAATTTTAGTTATCTGTATGTATGTCCATATGTTTTTATTTATTTATTTAATTAATTTTATTTTCTTTTTATCCTCATCCGAGGACATTTTTCCATTTTTTGTTCAGGTAGAGTGGGAGGGAGAGAGAGGAAGAGAGAGAGAAACAGCGACGTGAAAGGGACACATTGAGTGGTTGCCACCCGCATGACCCAACCAGGGCCGGGGACAAACTGCAACCAAGGTGCGTGCCCTTAGCGGGAACCAAACCCAGGTCTCTTGGGACCCCAGGCTGATGTTCTAACTGCTGAGCCAAACTGGCCAGGGCTTGAGTTTTCTTCTTTGTGCTCTTCTGCATTCAAACATTTTTTGCCTTCTATTCAAACATTTTTTGACTTCTGCATTAAAATTTTTTGTACATATATTTTTATTATGTAATTTTTGAATTTTATTAAAAGGATTTGCTTCATAAGTGCACTGTGGTGGTAGGTCATTTGCTAAGAGAACCTGTTGATTCTCAGTTTAGGAAGACTTCATCTGAAACATGTTGCTCCTCTTTCAGTTAATTAAATAATTGCTTGAGTGATTTAAGCCCTACTGAAAATTTGAAACAAATTTGGCTTCACTTTGCATTTTAATATCTGCATTGTAGGGTTGACCAACTACCTTGAAACTTACTGTTCTTTTTCAGTTGTAAGGGATTTTTCTCAATCAGCTGTTTGTCTCATCAACAGGTTTTACAGAAAGCAACACTTACTGTTCGCGGTGAAGTGGACAAATGTGTAGAAGATATAATGAAACAAAAGAATATTAGTTCTGAGAAGGATGTCAGGTATGCTGTTCTGAGAGTATTCTTTTTTACTGTGTGCCCACAGCCTGTGATTGTGGAGATCACACCCGGTGAGGAAGCACTGAGCCGGAAAGGTTGTGGAGAGCATCTGGCCCCACCCTTCACTTCAGTGTGTGGGGACTGAGGTCCGGAGGGTGAGCGTGGGAGCAGAACTAGCGCCCGTGTCTCTGGGTTCCCAGCCCAGACCTCTTGCTAGTTTACTGCCTTCTCTAAGGTAACTTACCGTGACTTTCCCAAAGTTAAATAACTGTGGTTACCATGTCCTTCTTGTCCTTCAATTTCTCTGTCCTCCAGGAAGGTCCTCCCTCGCTCCGTAGTCTGTCAGGGGCCCTTGCTCTGCCCTGTCTCAGAGCTTTTATCCTAGCACAACCCCCATACCATAATCACTGATTTACTCTTCTTCTCTCCCTAATAAATTTTAAATTCCATAAGAGAAGGACTTACTCCATTTTTGAGTTCTCAGGGCCAGTACACTGACTTGTAAGTATTTAGCAATTTATTCTTTATTCAGCATTTTCTGTGTAAGTATAGAGGAAGGAGCAGTTTATTTTGCCTGGAACAGGGAAGGGTACAGGAGAGAACCGTGAAGAGAGTTCCACAGAAGAGGTGACATTTAAGCAGGACCTTGTTGAATGGGTAGGGAGACACGCCATCAGAGGGAGAATGACAACAAGGGACCGAGTGCTGTCGCGTTGGGATGATAGGGAGTCTTGTAGCTGGGCACTGAGCGCATGCAGAGTGCTGGTTGGAGAAGGGAACAGAGTGCTGGATTCATGCCACACTGAGGGACAGATGTTGTCCTCTGGGTTTCTTGTTTTTTAAAGCAAGCACACTATATTATCAGATACGGATTTTGAGGAAAATGGATGATGGAGGGAAGTTGGCAGAAGGAGTACAGAGAGAACACTTAGAAAGCTGAGTCATTCGGGCAAGAGATGGCAAAGCCATCAATACATCAGCATAAATGAATATGTGATGAATGCTTTGAGGACACTTCAGAGGTAAAAAGGATCAGGGATTGGGGATCTTTTGATGTATTGGTGGAGAGAAGAAAGTCAGAACTGGGAGGGTTCTAGCTTGGGGAACTAAGGATTAGTGATGTCATCGATCGGTCTCACTACTTGTTAAGAAAAAGCATGTTTCCTTGGGGAAGATAAGCTGTTGTATTTGGGAGACTGAGATAACCTGTTCCAGACCTGTTTGTCATATATGTATTCTTGGAAAATTAGGTCTGTTGGTGGTAACTGGCTGTGAAGATTTGGGAATGTAGGAGATTGCTCAGGGAAAACATGAAAAGAAGAGACAGTTGCAAAGTTTGCCCTTTCTTCCATGTCTTATCCTCTTTCTAGACCCTGATATATCATATCCTTCCTGATATGTTATATAAAGTTTTGTGTTTAAGGAAGCTATTGATGCTTATTGTATTAAATAGAAAGCTAGGAAATTGTTTCTAAATAGACATTTGAACCATAAGCTATGGAGGCATTACTTTATTATGATGAGAAGGAATGATTTTTTTAAATAATAATTTTGTCATTTTCAGTTTTAAAATCTGCATGAAGGCATGCTTACTGCAGATATCTGGTTATAAACAGCTCTATTTGGATGTTGAAAATGTGAGAAAAAGACCATATGATTCTGATAACCTGCAACATGAGAAGCTGCTTCTCAAGGTAAGTTCCATTTTCTGCATTTGGAGTTACTGAACACTGGAAAAATAAACCAGGCTTGAGCTAGTAAGGTCTGAGTTCACATTCTCTAGATTTATACAGCCATCCAGTTTCATTGCCCATTGAGAATTTTATTGTGTTGATGAAAGATTTTTAGTTAACTCTTTTTGTAATTTTCTGGTAAGCATCATTAAAATATATTCAAATAAATTGTATTTTAAATGCTTTTAATTATGAAATATATTATAAACATATAAAGAGAAATCTGTTAGTAATTTTTGAAAAGGATCAGATAAAACCCAGTCTAATTATTGGATTTAGCTTCATGGCCAGCAGAGTCTTGACCCTGTTTTAAAGCAGGATCACAGGCTTCACATTTTATTTTGGGTAGCAGGAAACTCCTTTTATTAGGAGGACTTGATTCAACAATGCCTGAAATGGTAATGAAACAAAAAAAGGAAAAAAAGTGTTTCTGTTCTGCAAATTTTCATAAACTTATCAACTTTTGTGAGTCTGTTTTGTGTGATGATGTGTGGTGTAAAATTTAGAAAATGATTACAGATTTTAAACTTTATTTTTCATTGATTAGTTTGTTGCTATATAACACAGCTATCTTATGTTATGTTATGATAGCTGTCTAATATTTGATCTTTGTCTTAAGGAATATACTCAGTTAAAACCAAGTCAAATTATTTTTTTCTCTTAAAGCAAAAACAAACAGAAAAGCTCAGATGCAGACAACAGCATGGTGCTAACCAGAGGGAAAGGGGGGAGGTAGAAGAGGGTAAAAGGGGGATAAATGGTGATGGAAGGAGACTTGACTTGGGGTGGTGAACACACAGTACAATATACAGATGATATATTATGGAATTGTACACCTGGAACCTTTATGATTCTGTTAACCAATGTCACCCCAATAAATTCAATTGTAAAAATAAAATTTAAAAAATAAAGGGGGAAAAACACAGTAGTTTATCATGTAACTAAGTAGTAAACTGGCTCCCCATTTGGGGGCGGGGGGACAGGGTAGTTGATTAAGGAGTTCCTAACCTCAATTAAACAAGTCATACAAACTAACCAAGAAATATATTGACATTAAATATTTCACCTTTGTTTTTTTGTTTAAATGGTTCAAATATTCAAGTCAAGAGGTTCTACTGGGAAGGTCTAGAGTATTCAAGCTTCTATTCCTTGACTAGGAAAACCATCAGTGAAATTATTGAGAGGATAAAATTGAGGTACTGGCCATCAAGAAATAGGATTACAGGAGAGACCATAGGCAACTGCATTTAACTGAATTAAGAGAGGCCAAAGAGAAGATAGAATAAATGAGAGTTTAACAACTACGAGTGCCTGGAGAAAGATCTCAAAGTCAAAACGTGAGCTCAGAGCTGGCACTAGGAATGCTAAAAATATTAACAGCCTTTAGTAGTCATATATTAGACGTAAGGAAGAGGTCCCACAAAAAAACCTATGAAAATTTGTAAAATAATAATCATGAGTTAGACTACTATCTGTATTATTTCTTCATGATTCCCCCCCCTCCCCCCCTAATTCAGACCCATTTTCCTTCTGATTAGGGAAAAAATCACCTACTCGTAGAATAGAACCTATTTAAGTATACAGTGTCAGAGGCAAGGGCCAGGTACATAACACTGTTCTCAAGGATGTAGTTTACCAATTCTGGTATTTATATGTGTTACTTAGTAAATAAAGACATCTCATTGTTTTAGATTTCTGTGTATTTGTTGTCATTTCAAATCTGTTCTGTAGAAAAGTGTTTTAAATTGGAATAAATATGCTACATTTTTTATGATAGTTGAAAAGTGCTCTAAACATAGTCTTTGTTGAACCTGTAATTTGACTACAAAAGTTATTTCATTGAAAGCATTCAACTTACTAGTTATATCAGCTATGAGAAGGAAAAAATCTTGGTAACTTAAGAACATCACTATTATTTATAATATGGAAGCATGTTTGTACAGCTTTGGAATCTTCTCATGCCCACAAAAAAGTTGAAGGCTAGAATCTCCAAGCAGTGGGCTGACATTGGTTTCCAGGGTGATGATCCTAAGACAGACTTCAGAGGCATGGGCATTCTTGGATTAATCAACCTTGTGTAAGTGAAAATGAATTTTCTTTTCTTCTCTAAATGAAATTACATGTAATCTCCAGTCTAGTTTCCTACTGTCGCTGAATTTTAATCACTGCAGTGCTAAAAGTATTTTGTAATGTTTTGGCAACAATAGAAAGACATTGGAAATGTACATGTGTGTGTGTGTGTGTGTGTGTGTGTGTGTGTGTGTGTGTGATTTCTTTCCTTACCAATGACTTTCCTCTTCCTCTCTCTTCTTGGCCTCCCTTCTGATACATCTTATGGAATTATTTACACTCTTTTCTTACTTTTTTAAACCTCTTGCCTCTTCTCTCTTGGCTCTCTGATTCCATTTTGGGCATTATAACGAGATAAGATGATTATAAAGTCTCTTCACATTTATTCTTTGCCATATGTGGTAAGTGATCTAAATCCCAGACTTTTCAGAGCCTATATGGACTCTCTCTCCTTTTCTTCTTTAATACTTATGTTTGGGCACATATAGGAAATTGCAAAATATGTAACTAAAATCACAATTGATAGCCAAAACTATTCTAGAAAGTAAACTGGAAGATTACTTTTCTCCTATAAGGATACGCAGATGAAGAGATTCTAGTGTGTGGGCCTATCCTTGGTTTGTGATTTATGGACTACAAAATACCTAGTATGGGAACCTAACCATAACAAGGTTTAGACAGCTACTGTAAAGAAATTAACCCTGAAATTGAACTAAATTAGGTTACTATTGAGAAAAAGTAGCTAAAGTATCTAGGTCAATATGGACAAGGCTATTTTGGGGGTTTTACGGAAGACAAGGTTTCAGTATGTACAGCTTTCTCTGGTTACCGAAGTATTTACTTTTCTGTAATACCTAAATTTTATGAGTATGAAGGTTCCCTATAATTATTACTCTCAGAGATAAGCAAAACACGGTAGTCTTAATAATAATGACAAAAAAAGAGATTGTACGTTCCACTTTGATAAACAAAAAGTTAGATTTTAAGTAGAAAAGAATGTGCTTTTTTTCCACTTGGAAAAATTATGAAAATTTTTAAATGTATTATTTTTCAAAACACAGGAATTTTGTTGTCTGTCTGCTTTAAAGGCCGTCTTGGTTCTTGGGACTGATAAGCTGCACAGATGCTTGAATCCACTCACCCTCAGTTACATACACACTGTCGTGCGTTTCTTCTCTTAACTTCTGCCTAACCTTGCTTCTGACTCTTCCTCAGAAGTCAAGTTTTTTAGCATTTTCCAGTAATTTAAATAATTTAATAGAATTTGATTCAAGATTGTGGTAAGGGATTCTGACAGACCTTTAAATGACTGACAGATGTTTTTGTGCTATGTAGAGCTAGCATCTACTAATTTGAAAAATTATGAAGATTCACTCTGTGTTTTAATAATGATTTGATTGCCAGCGATGTACTGGGAATGATTAAAAACAGAGTTAGCTTCGGTTCCTCTGCAGCCACATCTGTTGTCCTGTGTGTGAGCTGTGACACTCGGGATCCAATAAACACACGGTCCGGAAGCAGGCTAGCTGTCCACACACCCTTGTGTAGTTTTACAACGGAGTTGCTTGGCCTTTGTCATCTACTCTCTTGAGAAGTTTTGTTGCTTTGAGGGATGGCTGGTAGTTTGATAGAGAAAGACATTTTGGTAAATGAATGCTGAGGCAGGTGAAGAAGAAAGGATATTGTACAGAAAATGAATTCAGAGAGACTGAGGAAATGTGAATGGATGAGCAAACAGAAGCAGAAAAGTAGAAGAATATACAAGGCTAAAAATGTATGTAGGAAGGGAGGGAGGGACGAAAGGAAGGAAGGGTGGAAGGAAGGAAGGCAGGCATTCAGTATAGTATATTGTAAGGAATGGTTATCCTTATTTACATAGATGTTACCATTTCTTAAAACTGTTGAGATGAGACTTGACTAAATAAGTTCAGCAAGGCCCTGGCCTGAGTTTCTCAGAGGTTAGAGCATCGGCCCACGGCCCAAAGGTTGGTGAGTTGGTGAGTACATCGACTATTTTATAGAAAATTTAGAACAAATAAAAAGAACTAGATTGTTTTAAAGGTAGGTGGAAAGTCTCTTGTTAGATCACTTATTTGTTAAAATACCTTCAGGTCTTGCCAAGGGCTCGTGTTCTGTGCTAGACAGGCCTGATAGCTCAGACGTCAATTTCGATGGATTCAGAAGCATTTCTTAGTTCCTGGAATACTTTGAGATGGAAGTTGATCGGAGTGGTGGTGGCAGTTACTGGACTATCATTTTGACAGTAACTTTTTAAATTGCTTCTAGATAGCTTCAGTTTGAATGACTTACACTAATTTCATTATTTTTCTTAAACTTTTTTAGGTATTTCAGTGAAAATTATACCAGGGAAGCTCATCAGATTCTTTCCCGTTCAAATCATCCAAAATTAGGGTAAGCTGGATATAGTAAAGAAACTGTAAGCTCTTGAATTCAAGTTTGTTAGATCATCTGAATTTGAAAGTATTTCGAGGTATTTTTAAAATGAGATTATTTTAATTAATAAGAACTTTAAAGGATATTGCATGATACAGTATTTTTAAGGCCGAATATGATCATAAATAAATTTTGTATGTATTTCAATATTTTTTATCACAAACTATGGTTTATAAAATAGGGATAAGGACCTTTATAAACTTTTTTTGAGAAATAGATTTAAAAATAGGAAATAGTTTTGAAATAGGAATAGAAATATGAGTAATAGCTTTTAAAATTGTGGCATGAAATGTAAATTGAGGTTATATTTATTAGTTTTATCATATAATATTATTTTTATATTCCAATGATACTTAGATTTGAAAAAGCATTATAACAATATTACATCACAAATATAAATACCCTGATAATGGAAGAGAAAATGTCAGATTACCCAGTGTATTTCAGAAATCAATGAGAATATATATACTGTACTCCTTTTAGTTCTTTTAAGGATTTTGGTTTTCGATATTTATGTGACCAGAGCTTTATTTTTATTTCTTAGATTATATCCAGAAATCAACAGCATCTAAAGAACAATTTTTTAAATCTATTCTGGTTTATTATTTTTTAATATGTAGGGATTATTGTAAAGTCAGTACTGTGATAGAAATGGATCCAAAGTAACTTTATGTTAATTCCTTGCATAATTTCAGTTTTATTTGATGAGCTATTTGGCTAGCTGGTATAACTAGTAATGTTTCTGACATAGGTATTCTTATGCAATAGTTGGAATCAATCTGACAGAGATGGCTTATAGCTTGCTGAAGAGCGAAGCTTTGAAATTTCATCTCTACAACTTTGCTCCTGGTGTACCAACAATAGAACACTTTCATCAGTTTTATTGTGAGTATTAAAAGGAGTTAAAACTAGATGTTTCTAAAAGAATTTTTAAGTCATTAGGAAGGTATAATGTATGATACCTCTATCATATTAGTATTTGGGTAGGATCTTTGGAAAAATGGAAGGTAATGGAAGATGGGTTCCCCAAAGTATTTTGTACTTCAATTTCTGTATTTGCTGATTTAAAATATTCAGTGAGGCAATTTTTTCACATGTATGCAAATTTAGCATTTATGCAGTTTTCTGTAAGTATCCATTTTTCAATCAACTATAAAATGAATTTTCCCTCTTGAATACTGGTTAATGAGTACTGTTGAGTCAAGGACAGACCATTTATAGATTATTTTGTTACTCTTATAAGGAAATTTAATTTTAAAAATGTCCACCCCGCCTCCCCTTATTTCTGGCCCAGGTTGTCTCGTGTTTGGTTTTCCTACAGCAGTCTCACTACCGCTACATTGACTCAGGCTCCTCCAGTCTCCTTCTCCAGGGGCTAACCATTTTGAACAGCTTTTCACTTAAATCTGATCTTCCTCCTCCCAGTTCTCGTTATTTTCTTTCATTTTGTTGCTGGGGAACAAACGACTCTGGTTTGATTTCCTCTCCTAAATCTCTCATTGACTTCAGCATAGCACCTAAAAGCCCAGGACTCTGATAACTGCCTCTGGAATTTGTTTTCTTTATGAAATGTATACTTGTTTAATACTGCTCATTGAACATAAATATAAGAAGAAACAACCCCCTCCCCAAATTAAGCATTTTACCATATTTAAATAAATAAAGGAGTGTGATAGGTAGGGAAGCAGTGCACAGTGACCTCTGTCTAGTTCTTTCCTCATAAAAATGGGTAACTAGAGCATCTTGGGCTACTGATAACCCCAGTGCCCTCAACACCAGCATCTTGGTGCTGTCTAGGAAGAGCGTCAAAGTAATATCTTGGGTAAAAAAGTCATAATAGGCTCAGTCTAAATAGGGTTTGTGGTTTAGGAGTGATTTTAAAATCACAATTTTTGTTCTAATATATCTATTTTAATATTCTCATTAAATATTTGTAACATTTTCAGGGTTAAATTGGCTACTGTAATGAGGACATTGAAAAATAAAAATGTTAAGCCTATTTAGAGTTTATATATTCTTTTAAAGACAAGAAGTTGCTGATAGTTCATTGGAAAATGTGGAAATAGCTCAGATTTAGAAATAAAATAGAAAACAGCTTTCCTGTCATTTATCCTTGTCCCACATTTTCTTGTTACTTTCATATTTGTGTTTCAGGGGTCTCTAGGGATAACTCCTTTTTCTATTCTCAAGGTATCTTTTGACAGTATTATATCTCTTAAGTTTGAGAGACTGTCGAAATTGCTGTTTATTTTGAACATACAAAAAGTATTTATAAAGTTCCTCAGGTTTCTAGCAGTTTAAGATAATTTCTGATTATTATAGATTATGGAATTTAAGGGATGGTTATATATATTTTTAAAATTAGATGGTTTGTGATATCACTGTTGAGCACTATATGTTTGTGTGTGTGTGTTTTTTAATTACAGGTTATCTTGTCTATGAATTTGACAAGTTTTGGTTTGAAGAAAAGCCAGAAAGCATTATGTATTTCAACATATATAGAGAGAAGTTTCATGAAAAGATTAAACGACTCTTAATGGATTATAATGCATCACTTACTTTAAAAATATGAATCATTCCTATTATCTTCTATTTCTACCACATTTTGCACACACAACAGAATTTATATGTTGTAATAGAAATGATCTGATCAATTACACTGCTTATATATAATTTCCTACAAAAATATTTCAGAAATTCTATTTAAGAAAGCTAGTGGACAATCAGTGTATGTTTACAATTGTTTATACACTGTCCTCCAAAGGTACCTTATCCTTCCAAAGATCGCCTCTGTGAAGTCATGGGAACTGCAGTTTGGAACTTGGGACTTAGCCCATTTAGTATTAACAGTACAAATCAGGTATTTGTATCAAATTGGTTGATTAAAATGTATAAATGTGAGTTTTCACTTTTATGTGTTATAGCTGTCAAGTTGGTATCTTTGCAAAGCTCTTAAAATTTTTTGTTTTTGAGTTTGGAAATGATTGTTCTTTATTTCCTTTCTCTTATTTGATTTGTAGGTTAATTAGGAGGGAGAGAGGTTCTCCGTGGTTTTCATTTGCTTCTCACTCACACATCACTGTTGCTTCTCTGGTAGAAACAAGAGCACAGGCGTGTCAGAGGGGAGAATCACGCCTCCTTTGCTTTGTCTGACTATGTAGCATAATAGATAATGAGAGCACGACAGTATCGATGACACACTTTTTTGTTTTTAAACGCCACACTTTAAAATGTTACAATATTATTTTGAAGCTTAAAGACATTTTCTCATCTTCAGTCTTTGCTTTTTGTCAGTTGTAGAAAAGAACTGTAGTTAGTACTTGGTGTGAGAGCCTTTTATGGGGCTTCTCTACCTGTGTGTGTTTATGAAAAGAGATCTGTTTGCTCAGTATATCTTGATTGTATTCAAAGGACAGTTGCTGTTTCAATAAAGCTGTCTTTGAACTTAAACAAAAAGAAAACTTAAAGCATTTTAAAAATCTCAGTTAACTGTCATTGGTTTATATTACTTACTGTTAACTCCTGCTTCTAGATGATGATGTGTGGACTGTATGGATGTCCTTTGAGTTAGCAGTCTGTGGGGTTCTCAAGTAGCCTGAGGATGATGATTGTGCATTTTATACAGCTTTATCCTCCTAAAATCTCAGGAGGGCAAGCAGGCATGTTAAGGGTTCCATAGTGATGAGATTCCAATGGGAACGATTTTTTTCTTGGTATGTTTTAGACATTAGTTCTCAGAGCAGAGTTTGAGGATAGGTTCATGTGATTACTAAGTTCTCCTTAAACTCTACAGAAACCAGCCTGTCAAAGACATAATTTAATCTAAAGCACAATGACAGTTTGTACATCCTCTGACATCTTTGTCAAGTGTTTAAGGGCTTGCTCTGAAGTGATTTATCAAGACCTGAGGCTTTCAAGTATTTGTTCGTGCTTATTAATGAACCTTTCCTCAGACTTGCCAAAGAGGAAAATGGTAAAACATACTTGATTGGAAAATAACACATGTGGTGGTGTATAGCACATTAAGAGTACGTGCATTCAAATTATGATTTTCTCAACAAGATAAAACTATTTTAAAAATTGGGTTCATTTTATTACAACCATGGCAGCTTAGCTATTCAATATTATAGGAGTTTTAAATTGGTTTCTTGTAGGGGACTCAACTTTGGAAGTGTCTTAACTTAATTTTTTTTTTTTTTTACATGTTTTTAATGTTTCATCATCCAACTAGAGTTCTGTGAGATGTAGCAAAATCCCGATAAGAATCAAGTGTTAACCATTAAAGTTCCTTTCATCATGGTGTTTACCATTACATGGAAAGCAATTCTGTTAGTCTTTGAATTTTCATGCTGACAGTACTTACCTTTATATTTTAACCTTTCAACAGCCGAGATCTTGAACTGATTTAAACCTTTGTCAGTATCTTAATAAAAGAATGACTCAAGTGTGGAAGGGGAAACTTTTTAAGTAATTAAGTTTTTCCCTTTCTAGAGAGAAAAAAAGTCTTATAATATTTTTTTAATGTCATTAGAAAGTTTGCTCAATAATGTGCTGTTTAAATCCACCTCTATTTGTAATGCATGGATAGTGTTTTGTTTTTGCTTAAACTAATCAGTGGCCACCTCAGATGGCTCGGCAGTGAGCTGGGCTAAGCCACCAACAGAGTCTAAGGTTTGGCAGTTTGGGTGTCAAGCTGTGTCACTAGTTGTAAAAACGAGTGTAACTGTGCCTTCTGCCTTCTCCGTGGGAGTGACATGGATGGAAGAGAAGTGGGATCATGGGTCTGCCTGCCTTCCCTTCTCAATGTGTCATGTTGGAATTTTGTGTAGTCTTAACATCCATGTTGAGAACATTTCCTGTTTCTGTAATAATAACTACCAGGGTAGTTCGAGAACTGAAGTAGCAGGAAAATTATGTTTGTTTTAGCATCAGAAAAGTGAATCGCTGTTGAAATGAATTGTATGTGCCAGACTGAAGAGAGTGTGCCAGTGACAAGAAAAGTCTAAACAAAATAATTAAGTGGTTGTAGTTCAGATGTGTTCTGAAAGACAATCTTTAAAGAATGGGAGAAATCAGGGGATATCAGTGAACCGCTCTTTGTATATATGGTGATATAGTTAGAAAACTCAGTGTCTTCCTGGCACCACTGAGAGTTTAAAAGCAATCTTTTTCTTGAGAATGCCTATCCTGATTCTGTGTTTTAAGAGCTACTTGGATTTGTATGTATGTTGCTATGTGAAAACCCATGTTCTTGTCATTTTTACTCCAGTGTTCACAATGGTTAATGTCCGTTACTCCCCTCACACTCAGTGGGGTAGAACTTGCTCAAACAGTTGCTCTTTCCGTGAGTGTGAAAGTGCACAGTTGTGGCAGAGCAGGAAAGATTACATGTTGTCATGGCACAGGAGGGAAGTTGGGCCTGGAGAGCAATAATGCTTATTATCCTTGAATTACTGATGGGGGACCAGCAGCTATTTTCTCAGGATAAATGGTCCACCCACCTTCTCTATGAACAAGTCTGGGGAGGCTTAATTTCCGTTTTCATATTTATGAACCTCTCCGCATCAGCAGTTTTTTCATGTAAATTCATGGAATCGTTAAAAATCTGAGAGAAAAAATTCATTACCCTTTTCCCCCCCTGGCTTTAGCTTCTGACAAATTTTTATTTTATATTTTATTTTGTTTTATTGATTTTTTTAGAGAGAGAGAGAGAGATTGATGTGAGAGAGAAACATCAGTTGGCTGCCTCCTGCATGCCCCCTACTGGGGAATTGAGCCCGAAACCCGTGCATGTGCCTTGACTGGAAGTTGAACCGGGACCTTAGTCCAAGGGACAATGCTAAATCCACTGAGCCACACCGGGTGGGCATGACAAGAAAACTTTAAAATGTGGTGCAGGTAAGACCCAAGTACTACAATACTAGGATAGGGCGAGTCTATGTTTCTGTTCAACAAATATTTAAGCAGTAGCTTTCCCTGGAGTTGGTTAGTAACTTAAATAGATTTTTGTCTACTTTGGATAAAGCAGCTAATTTCTGTGTAAAAGCAATAGTTGAAATGTGATGTCATTTTGTTCGGAATGTTGTGAGCAAATAAAAAACATGTTGAAACTGTAATGAGCCTTGCTGTTAATACATCTGCTCTCTTCCCATCTTTTCATCCCTTATTTAAGTCATTTATGTTCATGCAACAATGCTTTTCTTATTTAATCCTTTAACCATGTTTCTATAAAGTAAATCAGAATACACAGAATTCTTTTTTGTGACTTTAACTCATCTGATAATTACCTGTTTAAAAAGTTATTGGACAAGAACAATTTGGGCTTTCTGGTCCTTTTGTTGCCATTCCTTGTTTTACCAATATTTGCATCATTGGGGTGCCAGAAGGAGAAGAGAGAGAGCAAGAAAGTGAAAACCTATTTGAAAAAATAATGACAGAAAATGTTCCTAACTTGGTGAAGGAAATAAACATACAAATCCAGGAAGCACAGAAAGTCCCAAACAAGATGAACCCAAAGAGGCCCACACCAAGACACATCATAATTAAAATGCCAAAGTTTAAAGACAAAAAGAATCTCAAAAGCATCAAGAGAAAAGCAGTTAGTTGCCTACATGGGAGTTCCCATAAGACTGTCAGCCAGTTTCTCAAAAGAAACTTTGCAGGCCAGAAGGGAGTGGCAAGAAATATTCAAAGTGATGGAAAGCAAGGACCTGCAACCAAGATTACTCTGGCCAGTGAAGCCGTCATTTAGAATCGAAGGACAGATGAAAAGCTTCCCAGACAAGAAGAAGCTAAAGGAGTTGGCTCTTATACTTTTTTAACTTCTTGTTTATTTTTTTCCTACTTCTTCTGCACTCAGTTTGTAGGCATGAAAAAGGTTACTACAGGTTTTAGTGACAAACTTGGCTTTGCTGGAAACAGGCCCTGAAGATTCAGTTTCACCTCGGTCTGTTCCTCCGTCTAACCAAAGGTCCCTTGTGGTTCTAAAATTCTGTGATTCTAGGACAGATGCCATGGTTCTGCAATGCCCAAGTGGATACAGTGTCTTAGATTAGAACTTGTTAGAGACGCCATAAAATATAGACTAAAAATTTTAAATCTGTACTAATAACATTTAAAGTGAGTTTGTGCCTCTTGAGTTTGAAGACCTTCATTCGCTGTTGGGCTGTTCTGTACGGAATGTTGTTCCGTATAACTATCCTTGGTGTACCTCAACTCTTACATGCGCTGTAGACCCAAAAAGACTAACTTTAAAAGGCATTAGCAATACTTTATTCAATATATTAACTGACAATTGGGTTAGTAAATAAAAAGAAAACTCTAATATTTTCTTTGTCAACTGCTCATTTTAAAGTATTTATAAAGTATATTTTGCTCAATTTTCCTTTTTCATCAGTTTCAATTATAATGAAGACATGTTAAAGTCTTTTATACTCAGTCATAAACCACCACCCCTTTCTGTGCACACACACACACACACACAATGGTCAGTCAAATGCAGTGACTTATCTGGACATGACATGGGCCAGAGTGTGTACTGAGTGTCTTGCTTTTCCTCTTTAAAACATATAAAGTCACAAAAAATAAAAGGTATTAGTTTTCCTTAAAAAAAAAAAAAAATAGTCCAACATTTTCTACTCTACCAGAATTCCTTTATCTTTTTAGGATGAAGTAAATGGAATAGTTTTGTTTGTTTAATCATCCAGTTAGCAAAGACTCCCCCGGTGTGCGCGGCTTTCCATGAAGACGGTCATGTGGCGTAGTCCACGGGCTGCCTCGACTTCATCAGCTCTTTCTTCAGCCGCTCAAAGCACACGAACATGATGACATTCCAGGATCCCAGTCGCAAGAAGGAAGGTACTAACCTGGGAAAATGCACGTCGTTAGTTTGCCTGGAATTCTTAAAGCTGTTACTACAGGCAGCTTTTTCCTTTTCCTGTTGCCGCTCTTCTCAAATGAAGATGCTTAAAAGCACCTGTTCATCTTTCCTTCTGTCTGAAATGAAGTCTCACCTAGAAACTACTTCTTTCATCTACCTATACTGCTTCAAAACATCTATGCAAATACATTTCCACCAAAGCTTGTCTCCTTTTTCATGGGCTTTTCTTTTTGAGGGGAGGGGAATTTTTTGCTTTGTTTTTAGGAAACTATTACAAGAGAAAGTGAGAGGAGAAAGCAAAGACCAGAGTCCAGAAATTAGTGCTGTCTAGATTTTGGCAATTCTTATCTTTAGAGAGACTATCCAGTGTCTAGGTGTATCTTTTGGTTTGTTTTTGGTTTTTTGTTTTTGTTTTTTTTTTTTGTTTTTTGGTGGTTGTTTTTAAGAATTCTGCCAACTGAGCCCTGGCCGGTTTGGCTCAGCGGTTAGAGCGTTGGCCTGTGGTCCAGAGAGGCCCGGGTTCGGTTCCCGCTAAGGGCATGTACTTGGTTGCAGTTGGTCCCTGGCCCTGGTTAGGTCGTGTGGGTGGCAGCCACTCGATGTGTCACTTTCACGTCGATGTTTCTCTCTCTCTTCCTCTCTCTCCCTCCCGCTTTATCTGAATAAAAAAGTGGAGGAATGTCCTTGGGTGAGGATTAAAAAAAAAGAATTCTGCCAACTGTGCAGAACAAAGAATTGACTTTGAATACCTGTTTGCAGCAATGAAATATTCCAGGAGACGATATCATTAGTTAAATCTGCCTTGGATAAATTTTTCAAATATCATCCCCAAAGATTTTTGGAGGGGTCTCTTAACATATTTTTTCTGACTCTTGGATGTGTATATGTGTGTGTTTTAACTAAGGTAAAGTATACCTAACATAAATTTACCACGTGAAGTGTATAATTCAGTACCATTAAATACATTCACATCGTGTGCAACCACCACGGTTATCCGTCTCCAGAACCTTGTGTCATCAGAACTTTTGTACCCATTAGAAAGTAGCTTCTTGCCCTGGCCAGTGTGGCTTAGTTGGCTGGAGTGTCATCCTGTGTACCAAAGGGTCTTGGGTTCAATTACCAGTCAGGGCACATACCTAGTTTGTGGGTTCAATCTCCAGTTGGGGGGCATACAAGAGGCAACCAATCAATGTTTCTCTCTCACATCGATGTATGTTTCTGTCTCCCTCTCCCTTCCTCTCTCTCTCAAATCAGTTTCAAAAAACAACACAAAACAGTCATTTTTTTTGTGCTTGGGTGAGGATTAAAAAAAATAACTCCCCACTGCACCCTCCCCTCAGCTCCAGGTGACTTTCATTGCACTTTCTGTCCCTACAGATTTGCCTACTGCAGGTACCCGAGATAAGTAGAATCATGCAGTATTGTCTTTTTGTATATTGCTCATTTTATTTAGCATAATGTTTTCAGGGTTTAACCTTGTTGTGACATGTAGTTCCCCCAAAATAAATTTGAAAAAACTTACTGTTTAATGACTGGTGTAAACAACTAACATATCCATTCACAGTTAATTGTATAATGTATTAATTTGTATGAATGTGTATGTCATAAATGCAGATTGTGGTGAAGTGGCACCTTTTATATAAAGTGCACAGTGCATTTATGCTTATTTTACTAGGTCTGAGGCCTTGCCTTACACTTTTTAAGGGTCATAGAATTTGGTTATTTTAACCACTCGTCAGTCCTTGTGGAGGATTTCCATACGTTAGTTGATACTATGTTTTCTTAGGAAGGTAATTTCCAAAATAATATAATATTGCTTTGTGGGAAGATGTGATCCACTGTACAACACTAGTTTCTACGTGAGTGTGATAATCAAACCACATCGTCTTCTGCATCCCTTTTCTAGATCAATGGCAATGTTTTCCCTCTAGTTTGGCTTTAATACAATCTAAAAAACTGAGTCCATTACATTAAAAGAACCAAATCTTGTTTTCTCATATGCGTTTCCTTCGCCTTGTAGTTCTGCCCAGAGTAGGCAAAATACTGTCTACATTTCTAATAGACTGAGACCAAGGGAAAGGTCATTGATATTGAAGAAGCCTTTGATCAAGATTGAGAAAAATAACTAGTTTTCCTGCACAGTGGCATTGGTGGATTAGAGAAGTCTGTGGCAAGGAAAAGGAACCACTCAGTCTACTGCATATTCTGTCTGGTCAGCGACATCAATTGTTTAGTGGAGACTGTGCCAAAGCACACAGACAGCCTGGGCACAATGTTATAGATACAGGACATCATAGCCCACCTACCCTTTGAAGAAAGCTGACGGTCCTTCCTTTATGAACATTGTCATTATGCAGTTGGGCACACTTGTGTACTGCCCTGGTGTCGAATTTATAAATCTGGTTTTCACCACATCCATTGGAGAAGACAGAAGCGTTGTGCAAAACCCGGCGATGACAGCCGACACGAAGTGGCAGGGCAGGTCATCTAAAATGGACCAATGGAACAGTTTAGCATCAGGCTTTAGGGAGGGGCTGCTAGTTTTTAGTTATCAGATCGTGGTACACCTGTTGATACCAGGAAGTCGACGTGGGATGTCATAAATAAATACAATAAAAGATTATAATAGAAAATGGTGGCAAATAGTACATAGCATAGTGGATTGTGTTTTAGGAAAATATCCTGTCAGTTTTCTCTATGCCTTTAGAGTATGGGATAATGCCTGGTACATAGGCATCTAATACTTTTTTTTTTTTAATTATTAAAGTCATTGTCCCAGGAGAATCTCAATGTCTCTAGAACCTGTTAGAATATTATTTTCAGGAAACTATCTGATGATCCTACATTTGGATGAAGCCACTGATGAACTCAGGTAACAAGCTCATTTGGATACAGTGCAGGATGGACTCACTGCCTGAGTCCTGCTATAGAAAGAGTAAGATGCTAACAAAAGCTCCATTTGTATTAAATGAGAATAACACTGACATAAGAATACAGTTGCATTTTGTTTTTGTTGCAAAAAATTTTCTTCTGGCAGCGAAAACTTCTAAAACTTAAGGTTTGGTCTTTTTCTGCTCCTCAAAAGTTCAAAACCACTCTATTACAAAGAAGGGATTCGGCAGAATGTGGCAAGAGACGCTCCGCACTGAAATGGTACACGTGCAGTCCTGTTCGTTAGGTAACATAGGAGGTTACCTGCTAGGATTTTGTTTTTCACAAGGGTCTCCTTCATTAGGTCGTACGTTACTAGCTCTGTACAATTGATGACGACATTTCTTGCCAGATTGGGAGTAGTCCCTGGTATAAAAAAGAAAGGAAATGTTGAATAGCTCCATTATATGATAAGGTGCTAATTGGATTTAAAGTCCACCTGGAAATTAGTTACCTTTCCAAAGGCCCGTCAAGCCTTCAGTGGTTGCTATGATTCTGTAGGCATTGTAAGTGCCAGTGTAGCGAGGCTTTGGACCATGCAGATGGCTCTGCGCCTGAAGTCGGACCTTCACGACCTCTGTGGGTTGCCCGATGAACACTGCCACTCCTCCGGTCGACAGCCCAGCTAAGATCCTGCTTCCTAAAGTAGCTGTTGAAATCCACAGGAAAAAAATATATATGTTTATCAAGCAAAAATGAAAAAAAAAAAAATCAAGACCCAGAACACATCTATATATCTTTTTAATTTTCATGGTTAGTATTACTGTATCTTTATATCTTTTTCTACTTCCCTAAAACCTGCGTGAGTGTTGATCATGTACTAAGTACGTGCGATGTCATACTGCGGCTAGAAGACTTCGAAGATGCAATTTTTTTAAAATGAAGACTTTCAAGGAAAAAGACAACACAGTGCCTATTTAAACAGCTTAATTCTTTCCTGTGTTTAGTTCTTTTTTTTTTCAGTCTTTCCCAACTTGGGGGGAGGCACCGGCTCAGATATGATGTCTGCTTGCCGATTTGTTAGGAAGACCACTACCCTGTGGGGCAGGGCATGTCCCCCTGGCTGTCACCCCGCCCCGGGGCCTCTGGTGGCTTACGGTCTTTCCCCGCCGCGAAGAACTCCCCGACGGTGTCATAGAGCCCGATCCTGAGCGAGGCAAAGCTGATCTGTCTCTGGAGGCCAGCGGGCAGGCCGCTGTACAGCTTCACCGGCCCTTCTGTTTTCGCCAAGGTGGTGATCGTTCCCAGGACGCCTTTATACTTGGGGGCCCCGGAGGCTGGGGATTCGCCTTGGATCTGGAAATGAGAAAGGTACAGGTCAGAGGGAAGTGAAAATGGAGTAGGGGTCCTACCTGGTGAGGAAAAGGCGAAGACGGATCAGGCTGTCCTCTGTGGAGAAACCTTAAGCCAAGATTTTCCCTAGTATTCCTATTTTCAATTCCTTTTCCCTTCTCAGCAACATTTTATCTATCTATCTACCTACCTACCTACCTACCTACCTATCATCTATCTATCATCTATATCATCTATCACTACACGTATACGGAGCAAGACCAACTACAATGCACATTTGACACCCCCCCCCCCAACTCTCTAGAAGGCAGCAGCAAGGGAAGATGCCCCTGCTGAATCAGAGATGGAAGGAGGAAGAGCTTGGCTTGTCAACTCCAAAGCAGTTGCTGTTCTGAGCTCTGCGAACACTCACCTTCAGGTTTGACAGTAACCACAGTCAACCCATCCTTCCTGGCCCCTGCGCTTTCGCTTTCGCAGTTCATCTGGAGAAAGTTCCAGTTTCCCGCCTAAGGCATCCAGTCCCGTGACAAGGCCAAACTAGTTTTTAAGGGGGCCACCTGCCCTACCTACCTGAGAAAGGGTGGGAAAACCAAAGCCGGGATCAGATCTCCCTCCCCCTACCTGGAGCCGGACTTTGGCCGTGTCCAGCGGGAAGGTGATCACATCGGCCACACAGGCCCCCGCTCCGGCTGAGAAGATCTTGATGGCCATGCTGGGAGGCACTTCCCCGGAGGCTGTGGGGTTCCCCATCCTCGCTCAGGTTGCGGAGGGGCTGCAGTCCTGAAGTCGGCAGTTCTCTCTGCCCTTCTCCTGTCTGCCCGGCCCTGGGGAGGCGGGCGGCTGGCAGCGTTGGCGGTGCGGTCCGCGGCGGGCACGGCACGGGCAGCAGGAGCGCAGTGGAGCCGAGCTGGGCAGTGCTTCCTCCCCACCGTCGCGCCAGGAGCACCCACTGCCCAGGCTGGCGGCGCCGTGCGTCCTGCCCTCGGTGGGGCACTTATGTAGGCAGCAGCTGGGCTGAGCCATGCCAGATCTCCAAAGACTGGGCTGGGGGCCTGCGGGGCGGGCCCTGGGGCGCCTGGTCCCTCCCACCTGCATCCTTGCTCGGCGCCTGGGGAGCCCCCTTCACCCTCAGCTCTGGAAGCGCACCTGGCCGGCTGCGCCCCGAGCTCCGTGTGTGGGGAAGGCGCACCAGTAGCTGGTATCCTCCGTGGCTTCTGTCACTCTTCGGCTGTACCCCTAGGCTGGGCGGGGAGCCGCTGGGGGCTCCCCAAAACAAGCGTAATCTCAGTGATTCTGGTACAAGGTCCTGCGGATCTGGGGCGGTCTGAGGCAAGAGAGGGGCTCCCCAGGAACCTCGCAGGACCAGCCAGGCTTCCCTCCCCTCATTTTAACTCACCCTCCTTTTCCCTCTCTAACCTCCAAATCCAGACCTGGAAAAAATCCTGGGCAGAAACAAAGAACATTTTGAACTTTTAAAAGAAACATTTTCATTTGAGCACTTTTTGGAGGACCATGTCCGATGAGACAACAGACATACAGAAAGCAAACAGTAAATTGCTAAAGCTCCACTTGAAGTGAGATGTCACTTGCTCCTAATTTCTTGGGAGGGTGCAGCGGGAAGGACAACGCAGGCCGCTCGGTCCAGTGCAGCTATGCTGCTTCCTCTGTGACCTGGGCCAGTCACCTGCACTACTAATAGAATGTGGTTCCAGGGCCATCCCAGGGGAGAAATCCTGCTACTCACTTACCCAGAGTGATCAATTAAACATTGTACCAGTGTGTTTGTTGGAGGATCTTTTCCTACTTCTGTCCTTGTGCACAGATACATTTTGAGCGCTCACGTATTCTTTTGGTCCAGGAGCAGGGAACATAAGACATGCTACCCCTAGAGAGTTACCCCCAAATCCTCTCTATGAACTGGTTGTGTGTCCTGTGCGAGGAGCCAATCTGAAGGGGCTTCCAAGGGAGGTCAGGCTTGAGGGACATCGAGGAGACTGTGTTTTCTCCTCTGCAAACACCTGTCGAATGAAGAGCACTTGAGGAAGTAAGTGGGGTGCGGGGAGGCAAAGACGTGGGGGGATGGAGTGTGAGAATTCGGGAGTGCATGCTCTGGGCCTCACTGAGAAACTGGATGGTGAGGAAGAAGAGAAGCAGGCTAAGATGTTGGTGGGAAGAGATGAAGCTACAGAAGCCCAGTGAGGCCCGTTAAGAGCAGATCTATTCCGAATGCAGATTCGTGTTGTCACCTCCCGCCCGTGTTGTAGATTACAGATGGCCAAGTGCTCTTACATCAACATCACATTTAACCTGTAGCGAAGACAGCTTTATGAATGGCTGGACAGGGAATCACAGATTTTTCAGAGATGACTCCAAGGACATAGTAAGTTATGATGATGTCAACTGACTGTTGTGAGGCAGTTGGTGAGGAGATATGATTTTAGGAGGAAGGAGATGAGATCAACTTCTAAAGTCTTGGAATTATTGGAGAGAAGGGTATTTATCGTAGGTAGAGAGCTACCTCAGGAAGCTGCCCATAACATGATGAGCGAGCGAGAAATCAGCGCTGGGAGGTATTTGGGAGTTGGCATGATGGACGTGATGGTAGAGGGGACACTACTTGGGAGTGAGCACAGTGGACAAGGTAGCGGGTCAGGGCCAAGCCATAGAGGTCCCAGAGTTATGGTCTGGGAAGAATGTCTTTGTCAAAGGTAAAAACAGTGTATCCAGCCCTAGAGCCATGGTATTTGAGAACATCATTAAGGAAGGGTTGGGTCTTGACTAGTGTGAAGTTTAGAAGAAATGTCAGAAGAGGATAAAATCAGCAAAGCCTATTGGATTTGGTTCTAACATTATTGGTGATTTTAGAGAGAGCAACTGTGGAGGAGTTAGGTTGCCAGACTGGAGGCTAGGCAGAGATTGAGAGTGTTCCGTACAGTGTGACTAAATGTATAAGAGGGACCATCATTCCCTGCTAACTCTAGTGAACTTCTAGCAACTGGTTGATCCCCAACCCACCCCCGCACCCCCAAATCCTTCAAGTAGTTACATCTGTATTGGTTTTAAAGCACCATGGCAAATCCCTCCCATCAGAAAGCAAGGGTCCATGTTCCTCCCCTGCATCTGGGCAGGCTTGTGAATGCTTTGACCAATCGAATCAGACAGGACTGACGCTATGTGGTTTCTGAGGCTGGGTCGTAAAAGTCCTTCAGAGCCTGTCTTATTCACTGGGACGTCTGGAGCCCTGGGGTGCCATGTAAGAGATTCAATGTCTCAGGCTGTCATGCTGGTGACGCCCCATGTGGGTGCTCCCCTCCCCACAGAGGCACCTGGCGTGTGTGCATAAACCCACCTCCAGCTGAATACTACCCAGAAGTCTCTGTCAATGTCAGCAGGACAGAAATATAGCCCAGCTGAGCCCTGCCCAAATCCCTGAATCTGAGATATAACAGATGGTGGCTGTTCTAGGCTGGAGCACCACCTCTGACCTTGGGAGAGGTCGGCAGTGGCAGGCTCTCTGTCCTCCAACACCACGTCCCTGATGGGGACTGGATGCCGTGTGTGAGTGCGGGGTATCGGATCTGGACTATAAAGAGGAGTCATAGCACGTGTCTGAAGGAGAAGCAGGGTAAACTAAAAGTTGCTTTGTTTCCATAGGCACACGTTTGCTGTTTTAAAAAGGCAGAGTAGCCTTGGCCAGTGTGCTCAGTGGTGAGAGTGTCAAGGGCACGTAGCTGGGTTGCAGGTTCACTCCTGATGCTGGTCAGGGCACGTGTGGGAGGCAACCAACTGGTGTGTCTCTCTCACATCAATGTCTTTCTCTCCCTCTCTGTCTCTGTCTCTTCCCTCTGTCCCTGCCATTCTCTCTAAAAATCAGTGAAAAAAAAGATATCCTCAGGTGAGGATTAACAACAAGAAAAAAAATAGGCAGAGGGTGACAAATTAGAGGAAAGACTGAAATGGAAACTATTAAAAGGGAAAGGAGCCTGGCCCATGTGGCTCAGTGGTTGAGCGTCGACCCTGCACCAAGAGGTCACCAGTTCGATTCCGGTCAGGGCACACGCCCAGGTTGTGGGCCCGATCCCCAGTGAGGGGCATGCAGGAGGCGGCCAATCGATGTTCTCTCTCATCAATGTTTCTCTCTCTTTTCCTCTCCCTTCCTCTCTCTCTAAAATCAATAAAGGAAAAAAAAAATTTAAAAGTGAGGGGGGATATGAGAAAAATATCTGTTAGAAAGTAGAAAAAGTTGAAGCCCAAGCAGGAAAGGACAAATTAGGAGAGGGGACTGATGTATTTGAGACCGGAAGGAGGAAAGCCAGCGAGAGCCGCTGGGTTATTGACAGACATGGGCAATCGGAGACTTCTCCAGGAGACAGTGGCGTTCGGTGGTGACTGGGCACCTGAGATGTGCGGGCACAATGCCCGTTCTAGGGTCCAGGGAGAAGCAGGAGGCAAAAAGCCCCATGTGAGTTCTGAGGAGTTTGAGAGAGGAAATGGTTTGATTCCGAGGAGCTGGCTAGCTCCGGGAGAGGCTCTGGGAAGTAGGAGAAAGTTTGCCTCAGGTTGGAGAGAACAGTAGGGGAGAGGGTGGCGTCCCCAAAGGTCCGACTTCTGCTCTTCTGGCAGAGAGAAGAGAGGAGGTCAAGAATAGGTTAGTGTGGACAAGGGTAGAGGACCTTTTATGACGTAGCTAAGGAGGGGCAGTAAGTTCCTAATGCACTACATTCCTCTTTTAAAATTTAGAACATTTACAACTGCCCTTGCTCAGTGATCAGTCAGGAATCATGAACAAATGTCTTCACAGTAAATTCAAAAGGATAACAATGCTGTGCATTTGAATAATGTTCTATGTGTTCCCATAATTCTCTCATTAACCATCAGCAGAAAATATCACGTTGTAATTTTATGTATGCATGTACAAACGGCAGAAGAGACAATTTATAAAAGAAGAAATACAAGCTCTAAAAATAGGGGGGATTATAGTTCATGTCAATAATAAAGAAATGTACCTCTTTCACCTTATAAATTAATCCCTTGTCTCTACCAAAATTATACTTATTAGAACATTTAAATATACATTTTAAATTAAAACTATGAATATAATAAATAATGAATGTTATAAGTACAGAGTATGAATATTAAAATAGAAGTATAACAATGTACTGTTAATGATGATATTATACATTTACAGGATTCTTTTAGAAAACAACTTGGCACTGAGCCAAGAGAATTGTCCATAACCTTTGACCCAATAATTCTGTATCTGGATATCTATCTTAAAATAATTAGCTAGAATATGAAAAAGTCACATGCTTATTACAGCTTAATATTTAAAACAGCAGTCAGTGAGAGTAGCAACCTGAGCTGGGATCCAGATGAAAACATCTGGGCTTGTCTGACACCTGTGCATCTGGGTGTGCACAGATGTCTAAAGACAACTGAAATGAGTGGGCAAGGAGGCTGCCCTCAGGAACAGGGAGACTGAGGAGAGGACAGGGTGGGATTTCATGGCCCGGCCCAGCCAATAGAATAAGGCAGGACTGATGCCCAGAGACTGAAGGTCCGCGTTAAGGAGAAAACATTTCGTTTCCGTTCTGATTAAGGGGCTACAGCATAGTGAGTAAGGTACTAGCTGGGTGAGCTTGGACAAATGACTTGACTTCTCTGGCCCTCAAATTCTTCACTTTCCTGATTAATATTCCACCTCTTTGGGTTATTCTTTTTTTTTTAAATCCTCTCCTGAGGACATTTTT